TGTTGCTAGTATCCCTTCTCTGTAGTAATTCAGATGTCTGTCATTTCAGTGTATGACTAATGGGGTGCAGTAGGCATTTGGTTCCACTCCAAAACACCATTTATTTGCTCTACATTCAGATGATCCTCAGGAAGCTAATAAAACCAAAGTAGATCCCATAATTCTACAACACTTATTATGGCATGCTGCCTATTCATCTGCAGGAGATAACTTACAACATTCTACTATGCAATAAGTGGATAGAGTGCATCACAAATACAGAATTCTGCTACGATAGAGGCAAGGTTCACAACCAACCAACCAACCAACCAGACAGCCAGGTTATCTCTGTCCAGCTACCCACCCAAGAAAGATGGCACTTGAGGGCATGGGAACCAACCAAAGCTGATAGAAGGCACTGCATGCCACTGAGCTTCAAATGACAATGATGATGCCATGAAATATACCCTCCCACAAATCTGAACTTGATCCTTTTAGCAGTAGAACACATGGTGTGCATGCAAATGTTTCCCAGTTCAGTCCTTGGCTTTTCAGTTGAGAAAGACTCTTGCCTGAACACCCAGAGAGCACCTTCCCACAAATCTAGCCAACACTAAGCAAACTCAGCCAATGATTAATTCTGTATAAGGCAGTTTACCACCAACAAAGGAACCACTGAGAACACAGTACCTGACAGGAAGTCAGCAGCAGCATGGCTCCAGGGCAGAATGGTCATGCACCAAAGGAAACGAAGAGCGAGTTGAAAGATCAGCAGTCTGATATTAGAAAGGCACCAGCTGTTTGCGCTGCAGTACAGGTGCCCTGTTGAAGAGTGAAAGCTAGCACAACTTTTCAGGAGCTGACTGTAAGAGGCTGTCATGCTCTGGTCTCTTTCCTCTTTTCTTCTGGTTATGAAACTCAAGACAATCTTAAGAAATGCAATTCTTTATGGAAACTTAACAGGTAACAGAACAGTATGAACTCAATAAATAGTCTTCAGCCACAGCTGAGGGAGAAGCATCTGCCCATGTAAATAACTGAATCCAAGCTGTAAACTTCCTCTCTGTCTTCCCTTTCAGTAAAGCTGCTGACTCCACCCTCAGGGTGAGGGCACAATGGTGGGAATGCCAGAGACCATCTAGTCAGGAGTTCATTTCTTATGTCTCCTTATTGAGTCATGGAGTGGGTCTTGCATATGCTTCCCCTCACATCCTGAAAGCCCTTCCACGCCTTCCAGAGCAGGCTGGGTCTCAAATGGTGCCTGAGAAATTTCGCAAGGAATGTTGAAACTTCAAAGCCCTTGTCTTGTACCTCCACCTCCTCATTGGAATAGAGAAGACTGTCCCAAGTGTCTGTAACAAGCAAGAAACAGGCCCACTTGCTACAGAAGGAGTTTAATTACCTTAAGTGTCCTAAATTATATATTCATGAAATGTCGATTCGTATGCACTATTACACATATGAAGTTCCACATTCAGTCCCTGTGACCTTTTGCTTTGGATGGGTCCTACTGCTGCCTAGAAGACAATCCTCCACTGCTATCTAGGAGCAGCTGCCCTGCCTGTTTTGCCCCACAGCACATGGGAGAATGTGGGTGTTGGGCAGCATTTGTGAATCAAACCCTTATGGATCTATTTGGGGACATCAGGCATCAATGGACCAATCAGGAGAAAAGGCACAATTTCAGATCAACCACTCCACTCCTGCAATCAACCAGAGCTGTGTTTCCTGGTATAAAGCATCTTTTTAAAGGACACTTTGGAGAGGAAAAAGCAGTATGAGGTTTGCTTAACTCTTCTCCAGTCAACTACTTGCAAATAAGCATTAGTCATGCCTTAGAATGCTACAACCGTATTTGAAACAAAACTAAGATACCTTTCAGAATGGAATGATTTCAACCTGCTCAGGCTTTTGACAAAACTAGGCTCCCCAGTACAGCAAGAAATTCCACAGTGCTCAAAGTAGGAGCTTTCTTGTATGTACCGGACAGAACTGTAGCTCCGAAACTAACCCAGAAGATTCTGAAGCCATTGTGACTGTGTGACTGCAGATGTTGTCTGCTATTGGCTACTTAATCATTCTGTAACTGGGGGTTCTTAAAAATATCCCCGCAAGTAATTATCAGGCTTTCTTCTTGCCACATTGAGGAAAGTTTTTCTATACTTGTTTTACTGCAAAGAGTTGAAAAATTCTACTTTAATTGCTTAATAGAAATATAATTTTTGCTGTAGTTCTGTGAGAGAGACACTGTAGTTTATCAGTATTCACTGCTACTGATGCACTTTTAAAAATATGTAGTAACTGACTTATTTCTGTGAGAGGACCACTTTTCTTTCTATTTGTAGTCCTATGTTAGGATTGTCAAAGCTTATATGCACTTAGTCCTGGTTAAATGATGGGTTCTGAGCTGCTTCTTCCTCCTTCTCTGCCTCTCCATTCCTTTCCACATGGGCCCTGAAACAGCCTTCTTTCTGCACTAACAGCTTCACAGTATGTTTAAGTCTAAAATTGGTGCAAATAGAACACTACCCTGAGATCTACACTGAAAGACCAGAGGGTGTGTTGGATATGGGAAAGAGTTACATGAAGGGAACTAGGAGTGCTGTTCTTGCTTCTTTAACCCTATCCTCCCCAATGACCCCGATTTCACCAGGCTTGTGCCTTTCCAACTGCTTGAATGTGCATGTGCACTGATCTCCTGTTATCTGCTGCTAGCTGGTATCCTCCTATGTCATTTATCCCAACTGGGGCTTCAGAGCTTTATTTGTGGGTGTTCTAATAGGAGGGGCTGTGGAGGCCCATTAGACTCAGGGTTCCATAATGCTATTTAACATCTACATGAAGCTGTCGAGAGAGGACTATCAGGTGTGCCATCTGGCCTTTGATTCAGAGCCTGGATTCCCAAGTGGCAGCCATAGTAATTTGGACCAGTGATACTGGCATCAGCTTCACCATTTCTTGGGATATTGGGAATTCTGATCATGGTGACATATGGCTTAGTTTACTCCATTACTGAGACAACTTCATTGGCTCTTGCTTCTTTTCTCAGGTCAGTTTAAAGCGCCAATTATAAAGATATGCAGTTCTCAGCAGTTTAGGGCTTTCTTTACCTGAAGGTAAATTGGATTCTGATGCATATATGTATCTTAGTTGTCAAGTAAACTAGGTTCTCTGAGTGGACGTCAAATCAGAGAAGAAACAAGCACTAACCATCTCATCTCAGAGAATTAAAGTAACCTTGTAGGGGCAGAGACCTCTGCCATAAAAAGCAGGCAATCAAATGGTGACATCAATGTTTAACACAAGTTAGGTTAGTTGAAAAGGTCATATCTGCTGGCACCAGCTTGTATGTTCTAGGTAGCCTCTCAGCAGGGTGTTTTGCTACTGGAGAAGGAGGGATGCTCCCAAAAAGGCCCTCCCTCATCACCATTGCTCATAGCTGGACTAATGGAGCACTCACAGAAGGGCATCTTCTGACATTTGGGTAGACATCTTTGGGGGCTCCTCCACTCCAAAGTAGTTCCACTGAGAGAGTGGCCACGACATCTCACACTTCATATGACTGCCCCATCTATCTCTATACTCCAGCTCCTTGCAACACAGGTGAGTGAGGCCCAGCCATGGGAGGCCTGTAAATCATATCCAGGGTTGAGGGAGTGGGATTCCACTGAGCTTGGATGAGAGTAGCTGAGAATAGTTGAAAAAGTATGCTTAGAAGGGGTGATAAAGCCAGCTTACACTTATAATCTGCTGTGCAGCATAGACCCTCAGCCTAGAAAAAGTCCTGTGGTTGTCCATGTTGCACCATAAGATTAGCTGGAAACACCGAAGTAGAGGATGACTGATACTGCAATCCTGACATTGCTACTGGAAAGTATGTGCACTTCAGGTGTTAAGAATGGACCATTGGCCTAGAATAGAAATAAGCTCTCCTTCCTATCTCTTGCTCCTATTGGGCATTTTTTTCATTCATCCTTAGAATTCAGCGGATAAATAGCTGTTCTGGTTTTTCCATTCACCCTTAGAATTGGTGAGAATAGTTTCCTTTAGGAAATATCCCACCATTTTCTGAGAAGATCAAACCAACTAATCCTAGTCCTCACTTAGCCATGAAATTCATAGCATGGCTAAGCATGAGTCTCAACCCAAACAACATCACAGGGTTGTTGTTGCAAAGATAAAACAGAGAGGAGGGAAACTTTGTAAGCCACTTATGGTTCCTTGCAAGGGGAAGAAAGATTAGATGTAATTAATGTAATAATCACATAAAAGTGAAGATTGTAAATGGCTTAATCGCTTAATAGCACAGAAGTTAACAAATATCGGTGACCTAATATGCAAGATAGGATGACAGGACCACAGGGAAAAAAACTTAAATAGCTGCAGATACAAACACAACATATTAATTAGGAAGTGTAGTGTCTTTCCTTGTTGAAATAGTCCCAGAAGCCTTTTCAACAAACAATAAATCACCAAAATCCCAGCAATAAATTACAGTCAACATTATAGCATTCTTGATTGCCATCATCAGTTCTCCATATAAAATGGGATCTTTTCAGACAAATTATTTTCAATAATTTCATTGTTAAATTTGTTGCCAAAAAAGAAAGGAGAAACATAAAAAAGGAGAGAAATTTCTATAAGAACCTGAATGTAGTTTGACATGATGTATAAACATATTGTTCAACTTTATTGATATTTCTATTCACTAGTAAAACATGAAAAGGGCCTCGCTTATTTATTATGAGCTGCTCCCTCATATAGGTACTTTCTGGCCTCTACCCCAACTGTTTCTGTCCTCAGAAGGACTGACATATAGTACAAGTGGATCAAACACACACATCCCCCTTTCAGTTTTAGGTACAATTCATAACATAGTACCATACTGCTTATGTCAAAGAAGACATTTCGTTGAAAGAACGGTATACGTATTTAGAGCTTTTGCTTGCAGCAGAGAGAAAAAGGACTCCCACACTTGGAACAGTGAGAAGGTGCTGGTTCTGGTCAATCTGTTGGACTTGTCAAGCATTTTTTAAAATCCCTGTGAGATCCACCGATGAGCCACATGATGGGCAGCTATGAGACCTGCTTTTACTTGCAATTGCTTGGGCCTGTATAAGGTCAAAAGGGTGTGTTTTGTTGACTGTCAAGTATTTCTGAATGAGAATAAAGGATCCACTCACTAGTTGTAAAGCTACAGCACCAAATCCTATATAAATAGCTGTACCAACGTACTGGTCCTTGGGAGCTCGGGGCAACTGGAAAAACTCTGGGAACTCAATTTCCTCTTTTGCCAGAACAGAATGTAGGTTCCAGGAAATTGGGATGGAGACAATGACTCCTGCTGCTAAGTTCAGAATGCCTCCAATAGTAAAGAAGGTAATCAAAGCTTCTTTCTGCTTTGTAGTCTTGAAAACATTCCATAAGGCAAATGACATAAAACTTATAGCCAGTGCATTGACAATGGAAGCTAATGCCATTAGGTCTTGAGCAATAAATATTTCCTTAGGGAGAGTCTTGTGTTCATCAGTAAATTCTTCACAGTAGAAATATTTGTTTTTTTCAGTAGCATCTTTCATAAAGCAAACTTTCCAGATGCCAATCCATACAATGCCAGAGCTGATGCCTGTGACGTTGTGCACATGCCATACTCTCCACTGTTCCACTGCAGTCGAAGTAACACACATAATCCAGCCTAGAATAGCAAGGAAAAGGCCACAGAACTGGAGGCAAGTAACGTGGCCCAGCCTGCCTGATATCAGGATGTCCTCATCAGATGGGATTAGTGACTTAACTAGGGTGTTGCCCATGTTTGCTGAAAACAAAACAACAGACATTTATGCCATTGTGTGCATGCGTGTTCTGTAGTATGTGACCCTCCCTGCTCAAGTTGGCTCAAGGAGTGTCACACAGCCAAAGTCATGTCATACTATGAAAATCCATCTTCCAGCTCAAGTGGCCCCAGATAGTTTATACTGAGATTTAGAGCTGGACTAGTGGAAGATGCTTCCATCCTATTTCAGGGATCTATGCTCCACCTGCAGGGCAACTCAACCAAGGTGCCACTGACTCTCGCTGTAGCATTTTTGTGGACTGCTGTGGAATGGAGTGAAAGGACTTATGTCCATGTTCACCAATCCAGTCACATGTGCTTAAATTTGGATCTCTGTTGCATCTTCTGCTATAGGCATCAGGGGCTATTCTTCCGCAGCTCTTGCCTGCCATGACTGCAAGATTCTTGGAGAATGACACCCCTCTAAAAACATGTAGGAAAAGTCTGCTGGCCAAGTAGTCACCAGCTCTATGTAGAGTCTTTTGGCCTAGTTCCTCCTTGAATCTGTACATCACCTAGTCCTGTCTGATCTGCTTTCTTTGTTTACACCTTATTCAGTTATGTTGCCTACACCTTTCTTTATGATTATGTTGGTATTTAATTGCAGGACTGAGAACAGCATTTTAATTGCTCTATGAACATATTAACTCCATAAAAGGCATTGTTAAGACACTTCAGACTTAAGGATAGGTATGCAGTAATGTGAATGTATGCATTCCTTATCTGAGCAAACAGTGGCTTCAAGAGAATATTTACATCTGTTAAGTGGTACATGGGTAAGTTTGGCTTCCCCTCCCAAGCCCTGATCTAAATTGGTGGGCAGGGAAAGGGGAACTGCTATTCGCAACTTGTTTAACACAGAGGCATGCAACCTTTTTATGGCCTATGGGCACATCTAGCCATGGCGAGATGGCTATGGGTACCAGCACAAGATGGTTGCCATGGGAGGTGTAGCTACCTGTCCAAAATACAAGAAAGAACTTGTTTGAGCCCCCCGTTTTCAGTGCCAACAAAAACCTATGGCAAAGAAGACAAACTCTCTCTTTCTCCTCAGCCCCCATTGTCTGCCAGCCTCCCTCTCCCTCCCCAGCAACAGTGGAGCCCCCCATTTAATTTTGAGGAGATCCCAGTTTCTGGCAAAACAATGTGTCAGTTTTTTCTAATGCAAAACAGGGAAGGCACATTGGCAGTTGAGAAATTGTCTAGGGGCACCACATTGCCTATCCTTCCTTAAAGAGATGCAGATGTGTTCCTGAGATGCATCCCTGGCACCTTTTCTAGTTTGGCCTTAGAATTACAGGTACAGGTGAGCAGATGCAGTTTCCGTTTCAATGTGCTTCACTTGTATATTTGTAAAAAAACAAAAACAAAACTAAAACCACAAAATGCAACATCCGTGTCTCTTGGGTTCTCATCCAAAGGAAAATAACTGTCTAGGGCAGAGGGGCATGCTTACTAGAATATACTTACATGAAATAGCGCCTCAACTAGACCGTGGTATGCAATAGCTTTAACATTTCAGTGGGTTCCTATCCTCAGTGCAGAAGGCCTGAAGGTAGTTTGAAAAACATCTCATGCCATAGCAACCTCTCCATAGAGTTCTGAGGCAGTTAGAATGCTACCAACAGCCAGATGAAAGGACTTTGGGCCCTGTTGGGCTGATTCTAGAATATGGCCATAGGTGTACTGTTAATAGTCTCTCCACTGAAGAAGCACCGCGAGGCCTTAAAGGCAACACTACTGAACCTCATCATGGCCGCCACAAACTCTTACAGGTACATTCTCACATTCAACTGTTATCCAAACATCTCCCTTCCCTAAAACAGCACATTTTGCATTGGTTCAAATATTAAATGTGTTCTAGAAATGTCTTAGGAGTCTTCCTAATTCAATCTGCTGTCCTGCTTATCTATTTCAGAACTAACTTGATACTTGCTCTGTGATTCTTTGCTGGCTTTGCTGCAACAGATTAACATGAGTACTTCTTCCTTATTGGTTCCACTCTTTCCCCTTCTCCTTGATCAAATACCATTCCTCATCAACAATAGTCCCTTTCCTACCCATGTACCAGTGTGAATTTGAGCATTGTCCCAATTTTCAAGAACTCACTTGATTGTATGCCAAGATATTGTTTCAGTTTCAGACTTTTGTGCATCTCCAGAACCTTGGCCATTGATTTAAACCAGGCTGGGGGATTTTCACCATATTGAAGTAAGTCCTTATTACATTGGGATTCATTTCCTAGCAGTCAGTGGGCAGAACTGGCCCAAGTCTATTTTGACCCCAAGTCCTGGTATGTTTTATTGTAACTCTAGTTCAAGTTTCAGTTTTTACTTTTAGTGTCTGGACAGACAGGAAATTTACATGAGAGAAAAATCCCATTCTGTGACAACAAAATGGAAGATATGATCCTATCAGAGAAGGCAGAACAAACTCTCTGTTCTTCTGCACTTGGTAGCGTGTTGAATGAAGAAAAGTGATTGTGCAGTACAGACAGAACATTTCAGCTGACTGGAAAAAAGACACAAAGACCTTCATTAGGGAACTCCCATGGGTGGGGGTGGGGAGGGGAGACAGATTATCTGAAACACAAAAGGAGTCCACCATGTCTCATATGGTGAAAGCAAGTCCAACTGCACTGGCCACGATGGCCACCAATAGATAGGCTTATGCAACAAACATTTCCTTTGGAGCCAATGTTTCAAAGTCACTTAACTGTTAGCAGAATTGCACTCTACAGCCAACAGACACATACAAGTAATTTGATGGAGCAAAGTATATTTAGTTATGTGCCAGTTCAGCAGAGATAAGCATTACACAGCAGGTGTAATTAAAGGCTATTGTTTGCACCTGGGTATATTAAACTGAGGGGCTTTTTAACAAAAGCTAAAAGCGGTTATTTACTTACAAACAATCCATATGTAACTTGAATGAGGGAGAGATGTATCTTCAGCGGGATATCTTAGCTCATTGTTAGCTGGTTAGTGTAGAAGTGGAAAGAACATGTTCTCATGGTGAGAGAGAAGAGGGAGAAGGCAAAACAAGCCATCTGATCCTTTTTACCTTTCCAGGTGAGTTAGGAGAAAAAGGATAGACTAATTTTCTATGGCATTAACCCTTTTCTTCCCACTCAGGTTAGTGGCCAGGACCAAGCAATGGTAGTGCAGACAGTGTTACACATACCTAACAGTTATAACCAAACTGCACCTGACATTCTGTGTCTCATGGAGATCATGCCAAATTGCAACTGATTGCACTATAAATAATTGCAGCTAATTGAGGTGAAAAATGCTATTCAAGGAGGTCATGATGTGGATTATATTCTTCAAATTTAACACATCTTCATGATCCTATGAGCCACATAGACGGTAAAGAAAAGGAACATCCTAAAGGCAGGGCTGTAGATATAAATTTGAGATGGTATACAAGTGTATGATGTTCCAAATTTCAATAGAACAAAAGATGTCCATATCTTGGTGATATTATACAGTTTTCAATTTTTTAAAGCTAAAAATCAACATATTTAAAATATAGTGTTATTACTTTTCATTGTCTTATTGGAGAACTATTACGTAAGTGTAATTTCATAAAGCTAAATTGCACACTTTCTCAACAAAGCACCAGTAGTAGCAAATTTAAATTCTACTTCAAAAATCTAGATCCACCTCCACTTTTTGCTGGCCTTTCCTTCACTGTGTACCATCTAACTTTAGTTTGAGATGTCTTTGATTTTCACAGCAACACAAGCACTTCTTCATAGATTGTGTAGCATTTAGCACATGCAGGTAAAAGGCATTGTGTATTTTTGCAGTTATGCATCTCTGTGCCATTACAAACATCACACAGGATTGAACTCATGGGTGTAGGTACCCCGAAGAGCAGCAGTGGCTATTAGTTCAGGTTGAATTGAAACCTGAAGTAGGGGCAGAATCATACCCACCAAACTGGGGATTCTGTCTAAGGTGTATGCAAACTCCCTCCATCCCTTTGCAGACTGAGGGAGGGTTCAGTTGTTTGCAAATAAGTGAAGACTAGTTTTATGAATCATCAGGCTGCATTTTGCTATTATCCAGAACCTATCCAGAAAGGGGGATAGGGTGAGGATCTCACACATCTTTCCACGCTTCTGAATGTGTGGGAGAAGGATGTAGAGCTGGTTACAGAACTGGAAGAATGGAGGGATTGACTTCAGCCTTTGTCATTTTTTGGTGTTTCCAAGTAACTTCTGAAGCTGCCATGTGCACAAACTTCCAGCTGTTGCACAATGAACGAGGATTTTGTGGTAAACTTCATGAAGCATACACGGGAGAGCTGCATTTGTGAGTGTCAGTTCATGAGGTCATGCTAAAAATTAATCTGAAGAAATAAGAGCTCATAAAGTAAGACAACCCTAATCAAATTATTCTGATGTTTAGCTTTAATTTTCCTGTAGACTTATCAATACCACACATGTGATAAAGATTTAGCTATTCTGTTCTAGGATCCCTAATTTCCATCTGGAAGAAGAACATATTTGTGAGATATAATTCAGGAATATGTCTAAAATTGTATAGTTTAGCGACTGAATGAATTCACCCCCCAGGGATGAAGGTTTGAAGCAGAAATAGCAAGGTGAAAACACTTTATAGAAGCTGAACAGAGTTTTGAGAACAATGTCTGCAAAACTCTTTCTGTTCACATTAACCTCATGTTGAAGATCAGTTACCTACTACTTCCTTGTTATTCTTTAACTAAATCAACTGAAATATGATAAGGCAGTTAATAATTAACATTGGCACAAAATGAGTCAAGCTTTATCAATGATTTCCTAAAATGACTGTAAGCCACATGTATGTGCGAACTGTTGAAATGTATGAACATCCATTTTAATTTATGCAGAACTTAAAAACCTGCTATAAAACTATATTTAGGGCTGATTTACACATTATGGGTTTAAAACAGCAATGCCATTTATCAGTTCTATATATAAACTGTTATAGAAAATGTTTGTACATTTTGAATACTAGCTATGTGACTCTGAGTTATTCATGCACACCTGTATTGCAATGAACTGTGTTTGGTCATGGACACTTGCTAAAATAAATGCATCTAACTAGTTTAAAAACTAGAGCTTCTATTACATTTTCCTTCTGCTAAATGTTACAGGTATTTAAATTACTAGTGAATATAGCAGGCAGGTATTTTATTAGTTTTCTATACCATCTAGTAACTGAAGCTCTTTGGGCAGTTCACAACAATTAATATAATACAGAAGAGTAAAACATTATATCAAACCTTTGCAAGTATAAAATTACAGTATAAAACCAGGATACAAACTGGTGGCAATGGAAAGATGTAGTAATACAATAACACATTGAAACAACAACTAAAAAACTAAATGCCTGAAGAATTAAGTCTTAACCTAGTGTCAAAAAGAACACCAAGTAGGTGCCAGGGAAGTCTTTCTAAGAAAGCCATTCCACAACCAGGATGCCACCACTGAAAAGACCATTCCTTAGTATCCACCCATCTCACCTCCTCTGGTGGAACACCCAGAGAAGGACCTGTGAAAATGTTCTCTGGACAGGTATATATAGCAGTTGCCATATATGGGGAAAATGCTTCCAGCTAAGATGGCAATATAGTCTGATTGCAGCCTGTGCCTCTCCCAGTGTTTGGCTTTTAAAATTTGCCCAGGAGTTTTGTGTCATCATGTCATTTTGTATTAGCCTTGCTCCAGTTTTCTTTTTATTTGCTTGCCATGCTTTGGGAGAGAGTTTGATTATGGCTGCCCTGGAGGTGAAGATGGGATCAGGAATTCCACTGATTCCTCCACAGCTTCCTCTGGCTAAAGTCTCTGAAGCTGATCCTGAAGGATATTTTGTCATTCTGCTGAAGACATGTCATTACAGTTATCTCAGCAGGCTAAGCAGCCAAAACAGTTGCAGCTGAGCCAGGATTCTATCAAAACTTCACTTCTGGAGGCTTCTTTCCCGACAGCTAATTTGTGTTTCCTGGGATTATGGGAAAAATCTCCACAGCCTGTGCAAGTCATTTGGCAGCATTTGTGAATATGTTTGCATGCAATTTATTGACATTGCTACCAGATTTTCAGCTTGATACTGAATGAGCCTATAGTGATCTGGGTTCACTATAGGCTCTCACTCCTGAGAATTAAGAGTGGGACCAGCTTTTGTTCAGTTTTTATGCCCTTCAACAAAAGAGTATCTGCCCTGTACAGATGGGCAGAGATGGGAACATTGGTGGAATTCTGCCAATGACCTGTAATCTTTTATCCAGATCTCACCAAGAGAACACAGTTTACTAAGACTAAATGACTGACATTACAATATTGGAAGGATAAACACGCATGTCTATAGGACAGTGGACTGAGGATCTAGCAACACTGTGCACATTCAAATGGGTGGCATTTAGCAGTATATAGATACTGCTTATGAATGGGACACCCATGCAGCTATTCGGTCTACTTTTCATCAAGCTTGTGCACAAGTTTAAGAAAGCTGTACTTTCATATTCCATATGCATGCACGGAAATGGATATATTCAAATCTAAATAGTTGCACATCTTTCCTTCCTCATCTTTGGTTCTGTTGAAATGTTGTAAGAAAAAATATTTTTAAAATGGTGGGGCAAATGAATGGAGAGCATTTTATCAGGGAGATCCATGCAGTGAAGGCCCACAAGAGATCTTATGGCTACCAGCCACGCTCCCACCTGCCATGCATCTGGTAGCCGTCATGTATGTTTGTGGGGTCCCTTCACATCCTGGGTCCATCAGAGATTCTCTTTCACATGGATCCTTATGCACCCATGGTAGTAGAGGCTTATGGTCCTTCACATGGGCACTGAATAAGCAGCTGCTTATTTAAAACTTTTGTATGCTGTCACCACATGTCTTGACATCTAAGGACAGTTCACAATACATACAAAACAATAAAATGATCTTTATAAATAACAAATTCAATAAAAGTTTACATAAGGATAAAAAACGAAAACAAAAAGAGCAACTGTTCAACAATAAAATATTAGTTTTTAAAATAACAATTAAATAAAAAGGTTTTAATCTGGCGCCAAAAAGAATATAAACTCGGCACCAGGCATACCTCTCCACCAGGAGTGCATTCCATAATTTGGGCACCACCACAGAGAAGGCCCTGCTCCAGGTAGATGTTCTTTTTATCTCCTTTAAAGAGGGCTCCTGGAGCAGAGCCTCTCCCGCAGATGTTAAGGGGCGTGAGGGCATGTAAGGGAAGAGACGCTCCTTCAGGTATCCTGGTCCCAAGCCGTTCAGGGCTTTATAGGTTAAAACCAGCACCTTGAATTGGGCCTGGACTTCAACTGGAAGCCAGTGGAGCTGGTATGGGACCGGCGTTACATGAGAACACGACTGGTCCCCATCAGCAGCCTGGCAGCTCTGTTCTGTACCAGCTGAAGTATCCAGACCGTTTTCAAGGGCAGCCCCTAACCCAATGCTTAGGGTGCACTGGCAGCAGGGGTAAGAAAGCACCCTCAAAGTGTGGGTGGGATTAAGGTGGAGCCCTTCCATTGCACTTCCTGTCTACGGGTTGGGAGAGGAGGAATGACCAAAGTAGATTGGACTCCTTTCTGCAGTCATGGGGCTGCCCTGTGAGAGGACAAAATGCAGTTCCGAGGAAAAGGAATCGGCAGTAGTTTCCTCATGCCTGGTTGCTGCACATTCGCCCTGGCATGTTTCAGAAGAGGTGCAAAGGCCAGGAATGCTTGACTTCCCATCAACTGTCTTGTGTTCTGTTCTATATTGTAAGCCTCTATCTCCCCATTGCTTGTAAATTCCCATGTACACAGATGGTGCTGTGTAGTTGCGTGACCCAGCTGTATTGTTCTGTCTTCTCCCATATGACCTTATCTGTACATTCATTCCTTTATTCCAAAGCGTATGTAAGCCACTTTTGAGCCTGCATCATCACAAGCCAACGTACATAAATGGAATAATACAGTGCAGACCTTTTTAATGTACCAACATCAGGTATTTGCTGCTTTACTAAAGAGGGCCTTGTAAGTCATAGCACCTTACCTTGAGAATTGCCATATACCAATTCTTATGTGATGTTCTGTGAAGACATTTTTCTTAAAACAAAAACAAAACTCTTGGACTTAAAAACATATTATACTGCTATAATGTTATATATTTGCTGTCCTGCTCTTTTTATTATGGTTATTTTACAGGTTGATCTTATCGCTCACAAATTTTGTATATAGAAATACCAAATTTTGTAAAATGGTGGATGATGACCCAGACTCAATCACCAATAAGTATAGACTTGCACATGTCTATCACATGAGCTCATAAAGATGGATGGTACCATTGAACCATCCACATCAGGAGTTCAGGAGGATTCCGTGGACAGATGATTGGTCACAGTGTGAACAGAATACTGGACAAGATGGACTCATGATGCACACGGCTCTTACGTTCTTAAACATCCAAAACATTTTTAGGAGGAAAAAACCAAGGGAGCATCCTCTTCAGCAAACACAAAAAGCAGCCCAATGGAGACTGAGTAGGTTCAACAGACACTGAATACGAAGCAGTTATTGTGGGCTGAGTGAAGCAAGGAGAGTAAGAGAATGAAATGGGGTAGAAGGAAACGTGAGCAACATTTTGCAATACATTTTGTTGCAGGTTCCAGTTATCCAGTTCCCCTACTAGAGCACCAAGAAGAGTATATCCTGCTGAGAACAAAACAATTCAGAAATGAAATTTAAGGGTACCTAGAATTAATCTCTGATGGATAGGTATGTTTGACACCAGGTCCCACGTGGATGAAGGATCTTCCCCAAGTGGCTTTGTACTTCTCATTTTCTACCATTGAATTTGGTGTGGATTCTAAATAGGTTTGAACTAGTTAGATGTCCTTATGAGAGTCAGCCACAGTTCACCACCAGAGTAAAAAAGTAATTTTCTCCCCAGAAAGAAAAAATGCAGAATATACATAGATGAATATTATGAACTGATAATCGCAACAGATTAAAATTAACAAACCAGTCAATGCACTGAAACACAATATGGTTTATTTCCCTTGGTCAAGCAAGATGATTGATCAGTAGATAAGTATTTAGATAACAAGTGAGAAATCTCTATTTTTGAATCAGGTTTGCAAACTCTTAAGGAACAATGGGGAAAAATCTGAATTTCTTTTTCATTATACAAAAATGGTCTAAAAATTGCAATGACCTTAAGGTGAAAACAGATTCCTTCACCTACAGATGCCAAAGGCAAGACAGCACCAGGTTCTCTTTTACAAAGCAACTATTTATAGAATTATATACAGAGGGGGGAGAATCCCTCTTCTGGTTTATTCCAGAAACAGAACAAGTTTAAAAGAGAGAATAGGAAACGTGGGGCAGGCAAGTTGAAAGTGGCGATTAAATATCACATTGTGAAAGGGGTAATATATAATTATACATTAATTTCCATATTGCTATTTTTGTAAGAATTATATGATTTAAAATACTGTGTACATATTGAAGTTATATTTGGAGTTCAAATACACAAACAGAATCACTACAATAGTCTCTTTTTAAAGTCACAGGTAAAAGCTTACACCTGACTGGAGTAATAGTTTCTTTTAGCTTGGTTATGTAAGGAATAGCAAACGGCTTCTGAAAAAAAATGGAACCATTTATTTAGTATCAACTAGAATCATAGCAGCATTTGATGACAGTAATAATTTGTCAGATGTCTTGTGGATGGTGAAAAAATCTGGGAGCACTTAGTACAACTAGACTGTTAAGAAATTACACTGTTGCAGGCCAGTGAAGGGTGTATGAATTAGCACTAATAATTAGAGGAGAATCTCTCATCTAGCATTTAAGGGTACAATTTTATACATACGTACCTGGGAGTAAGTCCCCTTGAACTCAACAGAGACTGCTTCTTAGCAGATGTGCATTGGATTACACTGTTGATTATGCAGAAGCGATTATGGCAACTTCTTGAACAGCCAACAATTTTCTTATCTTTATTTTTGTATTTATCTGAATAGTGATGAAAGAAACTCTTTCGTTTACACTCAAATTGAATATCAGGAGAAAGTTTTTTTCTTTTTTAGTTTCACTGTTCAAAGGGAGTAGTAGGACAGGATGGTTCATTATTTAAGTGCTAAATATGTAATTTTCTGGTATAACTTAAAAAGACATAAAAAAACAAGACTTCCCTTTATCCATTAGAAATGTACATTAACGCAAGGGACCATCACTCATATGCAGTTTAGGTCACCAACGTTTATCACAACCTCCTTACGAAGTTTAAAAGAAATGAGACTTTTCAGAGGTCAAAGGGGATTTTTTCCTTGTTTCAAATAGTGTTGTGAATATTTCATGCCTTGTGACACTGAGCTGCAGAATAAGGTCCCATTATCACAAGGGTATTTGTGAGTATGGGCATGGAAATACAAACACACACAAACACGCACACACGTATTAGGCATGCAATTATGAATAAATCCGAAACACTTTTGGTCAGGTAGGCAAATTACGCTGCTTGTGCAGGTGAGCAAAATCTGGACAAAGCGCAGCCAGGGACAGGATGCATGTAGAAGCCAACAATTAGCTTGCGCCTGGAATGCCCAAGTAGGGAGCCGTTCCATGAAACGACGATGCTGCTACCCAGTAGCCACAGCATGGACTAGGGGGAAAACCTCACAAGGCTTGCCCCCGGACGCCTTCCCTCTAGCCCATCGTGCTGGAATGGCCTGAGGGAAGTGTGCTGGTGGGAAACTTTGCGACCACCGCCAGGACTGCTTCCCATTTCGTTGCATGGCCATCCATGCTTTGGGGCAACTAGGGACTCAAGCTCTGTGTGCATGAAAGATATGAAGACTCATCTACCAATCTGGAATGGGACGCACTGAAGCCTGGGTACCTGTCGTAATGTAATACTAGTTCTGCCTTACTTCAGGCTTGCACATGTTAGACTTGGGTCCCCAGCTATTTCGCATATGTAACAGAGCTGAGCTAAATGCAACATTTGCCCTTGTGCCCCATTACTGAAAGGCTGGGTAAAAATTCCCATGCTTACTTCAAATAAAAAATAATAATAACTTGGTCATTTTTGTGCCACTAAGATGTCAAAAATCATGTTCACACACACACGCACACACACTTGCCTACTATGTTTGGAAGTAGTTTTATTATAGGCTCTTAAAGATCTACTTGTCCAAACCATTTTGACATAATCACTGGAAAGATAGAACTTGCGCAACATTTCTTCATAAAAGCATCTAAATGTGCAAATCTGAAAATGTCATTTTACCTCATCAACCCAAAAACAATGCTAGAAAGGTAACTTGAATGGACTTGTTTTGTCTATTTTAATATATATTCGTAAGTCCCTAAAATTCACAGTCCTCAATATTGCTTTTTAGGGAATCAATTTATATAGACATAAAGAGAACAAATGCCACATATGTATTTTAAAAATGTACTCATGCAAAGATGCAGCAGATTCCTTAGTATACTGAATCTGAAATGCAAAACCTAATGTATGCAGAGCTATCTAGAGGCTGTGTGATAAGAGAGAGACGAAGAGGCATTCGTATGTTTCTAGCCATGGAAATAAACCCACCTAAAAACAAATCCCCCAACATTATTGCTATTATGACATTTCTCTTGAGTGAGTCCTTCTCATGGCCAGAGGAGCTGCACAGAGAGAAATGTGTTCAACCCATCGCAGTTTCTGTGTCCTTCGACAAGTGTCATTTGGGCCTTTCGGGTTGGAGGCTGTCAGTCAGACACTTGAGTTGCTCTTCCCCAAGTTTGATTTTATCTTCCAACTCTCGCTGCTCTATGATGAGAGCTGACTTCATTTTGACAAAGTGCTCATAATCCGCAAGGCTTTCCTCACTCAGGTAATTGGCTATAATGTCAAAGACAATGCGTTCCCTTCGATCCAGGTTTTCCTTCAGCTCCTTTGCATCTTCATGCTGTTGTGTGAGCAACTTCTGCTTCTCTACCAGGATCCGCTGGAGGGGGAGGGAGGGAGCAATACCAGTCCGTCACTTAAGACTGCAGTTAAGTCACCCTACTCCCTCTGCTACTCATTTATGATAAAATTGGTTAATAAACTTATTCACTGGAGTAACCCAATGCTACACAAAGATTCACGCAACTGGGCTTTCCTATCCTTCTTTTCCCACCCTCAAATTAGCACTGGCAAGTCCTCCAACTCTGGAACAGCTAGAAGAGGTTTTCTTTTAAAACTTAGTTATGAGTATCTGCAAGGTTACAGAGATAGGACCACATGAAAAGAATCATCTCTAATTCTGTCGATTTCAGCCTGCACATGCTTAGCTTTTCCACTGAAATAAATATGATTCCAAAATTTTTCACTTTGTTTAGCTTATGCTAAACTCTATCTTCATTCCATTATTGGAGAAATAAATGATGATCTGCTGCCAATGCCACTTCAAATTCTACCGTGCAAGCACATTTGCTTGAGCAAACATTGTAGAACTCAGAGGAACCGAAGAACGGTTGTCCAACAGTACTAAGGGGTTTATAAAGCTTAAGTCATTGATTTGAGTTGGGATTCAAAATCTACCTTCCATGGATAGAAGCACGCTATTCATGGAAAGTATCCTGCCCACATTACCTTCTTTCAATAAATTAGGAAGCTGAGTGTGAACGTCGCCCATTTTCACACTCAGCAGTAATGTGTGTCCCAAAAGGTAGGTTTATTTTTGTCTGTGGACAGCTCAAGGGGAAATATGTAACCCTGAGCTTTTTTATTGTTGGAATCTAAAGCAAAGAGTTCTTTTTGAAGGTGTGTTAGTCCAACTGCAATCATTTAGGCAGGGGAAAATAATATGGGACAAGATTTGAATGAAGTTATGGACACAATCAGGGATAAGAGCTGTCATATTTCTAAACACAACATGATTCTGTCACAGATGCTGGATATTTATGACCTGACACTTGGAGGAGCACCCAGACATAGGAAAAAGATGGTAGATTTTATCTGGCCAGGCACCATTCCTATATTAGACTGGATTATATTTTTATGTCATAGGGTTTATGGTTATGGTGACTGTGACTCAGCCTCTTTCACTAAAGGCTCCTCCATTTCTCTCCAACCATGCAAAGTTTAATGACTCATTAAAAAACAAAAACAAAAAACAATTCTTTATTTGCCTGGTCAAAGTGGCTTCAGAAACTGGATCCTCTCCTGTTTACAATTCTTGATCAACCCTACTTTCAATATAAAAAGCACTGTGGTTGGTAACCTAAATATACATAGCGTATTAGAGGCTTGGTTGTAATAAGGTGGCCAATTCCGGAAAGGAAATTGCTCTACTGCCTGATGATTTCTCCTCTGGCTACAAAAGTTTCAAACTGTGTCCTCCGCCAAGCATGGAATTGTCCAGGGGGATGCTTATTGTCCCTTGACAAAGAATGAAGGACACGTGTTCAGTCAATGGAGCTAGGGAACAGTATTCTATCAAAATTGCATCCCCAGTTGCTTTCAATCTCCCCAAGGGAACTGAGTGGTTTACAAGATATTTGGCAGGTAAGCATACAGTATAAAAACTGATACAGGCTAGAAGGCAAGGTGGACACATTCCCTACACCACATTCTGCTAAGCTCAGAAAGAATGCAATCAAAGTGGCTCATAGATGGCATCACACTCTGCTAACATTACATCCTTTGTATCCCACTTCAGCTCCTAAATGTTGGTGCAGGTCTTACAGCAAAGATTCTTGGATGCGTATGTGGTGGGCGTGCCTCAGGGTTTGTGCATTATGGTGCTATTTTTTGAAACAACAGCAGACATTATTTCTCAGCCTGACACATACTCTGCCTTATTATCCAGCTATGACATGGGGGCGGAGGCGGAAGACTCCACAAGGACTTGTAAAATGTTCTGATATAGCAGCCTATCCAAAAATTACTCAGTTACGTAGAAGTCAACCCTGGGATTTGCTTACAAGGTTTACAAGGTTATTTAACAGACTTGGCAAAGAGCTCTGGCAGAAGGCTTGACGCACCAGAGTTGACTACTATGAAGGCCTACGAAAAGGGGATGCTTTGCTGAAACTTGGCTGCCCTTCTTGGAGTTTGCAAATAGAGGTATTCCTGAATGCATGAACCCAGAGAATCAAAAGTCCTTCTGGGGAGTCTTAATTCATGGACTGTGTTCGTCTGATAGATTATTATGTTGTACCCTCATGTGTAGCAGTAATAGATGTATGAAATATTTTAACCTTTTACATAAATCTACTTGTGATCAAAAGAGCACAATCAGACAGGTCTTCCTTAAATACAGCAGTAATACAATATTGCACCTTACCCGCTCTTCCGATGATGCATTTTCATCCAGGTTGTTCAATGCATTTTCTACCCGGGCTAGCCGACCAGAAAGTGATAAGAGGAGGTTGACCACTTTGTCAAGGTCCCCAATAAACATCCGGAACTTGTCAAACTCATTGGGTTTGCAGACCTCTTTTACAATTGCTTCCACTTCATCTCCAAGCAGATTGTTAGCTTGAATGTCTTCCAAGAGGGTCTTTCGAGCTTCTCGTAGTACCTGGAGCTTTCGACTTATGCTATCTATAAGCTCTTGCTAAAGGGAAAAGGGAAGAAAGGATATTAAAGTATCTAATATCATTCCATTTATTAGATACTTCCCAATACCGAAAACTCTATGGGAAGGTTGCAGCATAAAATAAAATATAGACATGATTTTCTTGCCCTCTACGAAGTATCTGAAATATTCTATTTAGAAAATAGACAGACAGAAAACCCAATGGAGTGGGGCAATGAATGTGTCTGGAGTATAAATGGGTATGTTGCGTGCTTACAGCCACATGTGCAGTCCTAAATAAAGACAAGGGAGAAGTTACAAGGCCTTCAAAGAGCTCGGAGAGGAACAGCAGCTTTGATTTTGTAGCCGTTTACATCACTTATGCCTATTAATTCTGTTCCAGAAGAACAGATGTGTCAATTTATTCCAGCAAAACAAAACAAACAGACCACCACAACCCTCTATCTCATCATAGAAGCTGATCTGATGTCAATAATAATAATTAAAAGTCCTTTAATGCTAATTGTCTACAAGATTTACAATTCTATAGATAAGTTCCCTAATAGCGGTCCTTGCTAAGCAGACGTTAGCCCTATAATGGCTTCTCTTCCTGAGCCCACGTGGGATCATTCTCCCAAGTCATGCCTTTCCTCCTTCTTACGCAGTCTACTTTGCAGCTGTTCAAATCGGCGTAAAATACGTCTGTTCTGGGCCCTTGAAAAATCCACGACACCTATTGTGTCTTCTGTTTCTGGCTCAGGGAGATCAGCATCAAGGGGGAAAGAGGCAGTTTGCTCTGCCTTCTGAGTAGAACTTGCAGCTTCCTCTTTCTCACGACTCTCTGTCTCTGATAAAGGTCCAGGCATTTGCTCAACGTGCTGGGGCTCAGAGGAAGACGCAGCAGCTGGCGCTGGGTTGTGGGGTCGACTCTTGGGCACTGGGTGCCAAGTGCAAGGTCTCCTCGTGAGTCACTGTTTCTGTGGGAGCTTCATGCACGACAGGTTTGCACATACCACAAACACATGGTTTGCCTAACTTACAGGTTGCTAAATCCTGGGTTGTTGCATGTCCATGCATCCGGTACTGTCTATTTTCTGGGAAAAAGGGGATTGTCACTATATGCAATTTCAGAAGCATAGGAAGGCGCATAATACCAGCATCTGAGTCTAACAATAAATTAAGCAATAATTTCCAACCAGCCTGGCAAAGTCTAGCATTCAGAAGTGATGGTGGAGGGAACAGAGAGGTGCAAAATGAAGAAAAAGGATTTCCCTACATCTACAATATGCTTTTCATTGAAGGATTTACAAAAGTGGAGGCTTCTTTTTTTAAATAAAAATGTTTCCATACTGTTTTCAGTTTTAGCCAAGTTTCCCAAAGTGGTCTGCAGAACAACAACAACAAAAAAATCATAAAACCAATTTAAACAAAAGCACAATTAAAACAGAATACTGAAACCAAGGAAGATCAGAATCAAAACTACATCTCAAATTAAAATATAAAAATAGATGCACATTTTGTGTGTGTGTTAATTAGGAACATCTTCTCTCCATGCCCCCTCAAAGAGATGTTCAGAGGGTAGTGACGAAAGAACAGGTCTTTTCTGTGGAAATTCCCAATTACGGAATATTCTCTCCAAGGAAACTCATCTTTAATACAGCAGTCTAAAATCTGCTTCTCTTTTCCTGGAGATTTGAATAATTTAATGGCCTAGCTTTTGCAGTCATTTTTGTTCTTCACTTCTGTTCCTCCCAGGGATTGCATCTGTCCTTTAGGTGATTTTTTAGATGGATACTTTGGTTTCAGTTATATGATTTTCATGCACAAGCTATAATATTGTGTATAGTGTTTTGTTTTTTAAGTGATTTCTTTGCAGATTATTTTGAGATTCCTTTTGTCTGTGTGAAGCAATACATAAGTGTAGTAAGTTTAGCTCAAGTAAAATCCATTAAAAGTCTGGTGGGATAAAAATACTTTTACTGTCCACCTAAAGTCCATCAGGAATAGGTGTAATCTAGTACCAAATATCTTTGGCTTCTGCTACTAAGAAAAGCAGGTTGCTTACCTGTAACTGATGTTCTTCGAGCGGCCATCTGTGCAGTCACACATATGGGTGCTGTGCCTGCGCAGTGCTTTTGGCCGGAAGATTACAAGCTAACGGTTTTTGGCAGGAAAGCTCCGCTCCCCCTCCCCCATGGCCTATAAAGAGCAGAGCGTCCGCCATTTTGTTCAGTCTTTGACGACCGAACATACACCCCCATCTGGAAAAAATATTCCTACTGTAAAACAATATTGGTACCCAGAAAAGGGGAAACATTCAGTACCGACAAACAATATCCACTCACCGACACTGAGCGGGGTCGGCGGGTGGGTTGTGTGACTGCACAGATGGCCACTCGAAGAACATCAGTTACAGGTAAGCAACCTGCTTTTCTTCGTCGTGGCCTCTGTGCATCACACATATGGGTAGATTAACAAGCTTACCATATTGGAGGAGGGGAAGCGTCCTCAATGAAGAACAGATGAAAGAACGGCTCTGCCGAAGGAGCAATCTTGTTGAGCCCGAACGTCTAAACGATAATGTTTGGCGAAAGTGCAAGGGTTCGCCCAAGTAGCAGCCCAACATACATAGTCAATCGGTACTCCTGATGCGAAGGCAGAGGAGGTAGCAGAAGTCCTAGTCGAATAGCTACGAGGAGCTGTGGGTAAGTCAATCTTAGCCAGTTGATAGGATAAAGTGATAGTATGGACTATCCACTTAGAAAGTCTTTGCGGAGTGACAGGAGCGCCCTGATCTCTGGCAGCATATTTAACGAAAAGTCTATTTGAACGCCAAATAGATTCCGTCCTAGATCTGTAGAAGACTAAACAGCGCCGAATGTCAAGTGAGTGCAATGATCTCTCTAGCGGAGTCGACGGAGACAGAAAGAAGGCCGGCAAATTGATATCTTGTCCCATATGAAAGGGAGTGGACACCTTTGGGAGAAAAGATGGATTGAACCGCAGGACGACCTTTTCTCTATGAAAGTTGAGGTAAGGTGGGTCTATGCGGAGAGTGCAGAGCTCACTGGCCCTTCGGGCCGAGGTAACCACTACTAGAAACGCTGTCTTCCACGAAACTAGACATAAATCGACTGTTGCTAACGGTTTGAAAGGAGCTCTTGTAAGCACTTGCAAAACAACAGAGAGACTCCAGGTAGGCATTACTGGCCTGATCGATGGATTCAGATTATAAAGTCCCTTCAGGAACCTCTTAATAGCAGGTTGAGAAAAGATGGACGCTCCATCTAGCATGCCACAACGATAGGCGATTGCTGCCGTATACACCTTAATCGAAGATGGTTTCAGTCCAGAGTGGTGTAGTTCTAAGAGGAACTGGAGAATTTGGTGTATCGATGATGTAAGTGGAGAGAACGAACGAGACTCGGCAAAGGTGGAAAATCTTCTCCATTTAGCCGCATAAGACTTCTGTGTGGAAGGCTTTAGAGTGGAATCCAAGATGTATTGAATGTCTGGATGAAAGATTGTCGGATTCGATGGAGCAATAGTCGGGTCCGACAGTGCTGGAGCAGCGCCGACTCCAGCGGATTCGAAGGTTGCAAATGTAGCGGATTCGAAGGTAGGATTTGAACCACTTGAAGTAGTCGACAGTATAGACGTAAGGAAGTCAGTTATCGGATTCGCCATGCTGTTAGTTTCAACGATAGTATATCTGGGTGGCAAAGTGCACCGTCCTGCTGGGTTATGAGGTACGGAAGCGGTGGAAGATGAAGGTATTCCCCGTGAGAAATGTCCAGTAGTGTGGGGAACCAAGGTTGGCATGGCCACCAAAGAGTAATTAGTATCCCCGTGGCCCGATCATATACAATCTTTGCTATGACTCTCATCGCCAGAGGAATCGGTGGGAAGACGTAAAAATTCAGGTTGTTCCATGGAATCATGAAGGCATCCCCTAGGGATTCGCACCCGATTCCTGCTCTCAAACAGAAAATCGCACACACCTTGTTCTGTTGGGTGGCAAACAAGTCCACGTCGGGAAACCCCCAGCAATGAAAAAGGTCCTCGCGTGTCTGGGGATCTAGTTCCCATTCGTGAGAGATGAGCATGCGCCTGCTGAGAAGGTCTGCTTCCACATTGTCCGTACCTGCCAGATGGACTGCTATCATCGTAATGTCTTTCGAAATGCACCAGTCCCAGATCTGCACAGAAAGTCTGGCCGGGGTCGGAGATTTCGTCCCTTGTTTGTTCAGATAAAGAACGGTGGCTATGTTGTCCGACATTATCTGAACGACCCAATGTTGAAGAACATCTTTGAAAGAGTGTAGGGCTTTAAATACGGCCAACAGTTCCAGGAAGTTGATATGATTCGTGGATTCTCGACGAGTCCAGATGCCCTGAGTATACAGGCCAGAGCATACCACTCCCCAACCCAGAAGAGGCGTGTCAGTACCGACTGTTATCGATGGACATCGGGGCCTGAAGGGGACCCCAACAGTCAGATTGTCCGGGACCGACCACCATAGTAGGGAATGGAGTACCGAGGATGGGAATCGAAGCAGTTTCGACGGCGGATCTCTCTGTGGGTGGAACGCTTTGTTGAAAAATAGCTGCAGAGGACGAAGTCGCAGTCTGGCGTGTGGTACCACAGCAACGGCGGAAACCATATGTCCTAGAAGCCTCTGGATGGACTTTGCTGGAACTGATCTGCCTCATCGCATTCGATGGACATGGCAAGCGAGAGTCAGTTGTCTGCCTCGAGGGAGGAATGCCTTTTCCAACGTCAAATCCAAGTGGGCTCCGATGAATGTAAGCCTCTGTACTGGAAGGAGAGAAGATTTCTCGGTATTAATGCATAGGCCCAGATCGTCCAATAAGGCACAGGTAAAACAGATAGAAGTGAGGAGCGCTTCCCTGAACCTGGAGACCAGGAGCCAGTCATCAAGGTAAGGATAAACTTGTATGCCCTGGAGGCGTAGGTAAGTTCAGACAGGGGCCATGCATTTAGTGAACATGCTCGGAGCGGTGGCCAAACCAAAGGG